GGGATGATTTAGGCATAGCTATGCTTATGTTCTACCAGGGGTATTTTCCATGCGTCTGAGCTTTGCTGGTTGCTCCCACTGCCCCCCCCCCTTTTTTTTCTGCTACATGTGTCAGGATGTTTTAAAGCCTCCCCAAAGGCATTGGGTACAGCTAAGGCTGGGGACTTGAAATGGGGTGTGCCAATTCTCTTGATAGGACCAAAGCTGGAGTTTACCAGCTAGAGAATCTTGCCCCTCCACTCAGGACCAGACCAATCATCATACGTGGAGTCAGGAAAGAATTTTACCTTGTGGTCAGACTGGTACAGACTGTGGAGGTCTTTCCCTTCCTCGGTAGCAGAGGGCATGGCCCTCTTGAGCATATATTGACATTTTATAGAAGCAGAACATTGGCTGCCATGGTTCCCCTGAATTACCTATGTTGTGTCAGGGTTGAGGGTAGTATTATGCAGGGTTTAGATTATGGTGTATAGGAATGTTGGGACAGGGATGATCTTGCCTCAGAGTGGGGGTTGGATCTCATCTCTAGAGGTCTCTTCCACCCCTGCTTCTCTATGACTCTATGTGTATGGGGGGAGGGGGGGCAGGGGGGATGGAAAAACTCTTTACACTAACCTAAAAAATATACAAAAATATCTTACAAATATACTATGGCACATCCTTCTGCAAAGTAAGTGACACTGTTTAAACCAACAGAATGGTTTACAGCTTCTTATGCCCCAAATTCAGAGATTAGTTTTGTTTCCATTTCTTGGAGCAAAGCAAGCTGTGATACATAACATATCAGTATTTTTACTTAGTTCTTGATATTGTTCAGTCTGCTTCACTTTAAAACCAGGTGGTGTAATTCTGGAATCATAAAAAGATCTATTAGAACATCTCTCTTGTTTTACCAACTGATTTTATCCTATATAGCCTATTTTCAAGTGCTGTGTCCATTCTCAAATAAAGAAGAGAAGATCCTACTTATGTAATCAGGATAAATTATCTAGATCATTATTCTTCCTGACTTACTGGTTACTGAGTGCCTCCTGTATCAAGCAGTACTTACTGTTGTCCTCTTAAATTTGTTGTTTCCATTTATTCTAATTATAACTCACTGCATCATTCTAACAACTCCTCTCCCTGTTTGGTATTCACCTGGCATAGTGGCTTACCATTTTATCTGCCTATCTTCTTCCCATTGCTCATTAATCAATATATGCCTTATAATTTAATCCTTCCTCATAAAACTACCCTCTCACCCCTCCATTTTTTGGCTTAATTTCCCCCCCATTTGTATCTCTCTAACCCCATAAACTTTCTCCAAATTTGTAAAGATACATGAGGCTGATGAAGGAGATTTACCAAAAGGGAAGAAAAAACTAAAGCATGATTTACTAGCATGTGTAAGATGCATATTGAAGCTGCCTACTGTTTTATTTCTTTGTTTAGGAATTACAACTGTGCTGACTATGACAACAATCAACACACATCTCCGAGAGACTTTGCCTAAAATTCCCTATGTTAAAGCCATTGACATGTATCTTATGGGTTGCTTTGTATTTGTCTTCTTGGCCTTACTTGAATACGCCTTTGTCAACTACATTTTCTTTGGAAAAGGCCCACAAAGACAGAAGAAGCTTGCAGAAAAGACAGCAAAGGCAAACAATGATCGTTCAAAATTTGAAGGCAGCCGGGTAAGATTCTTTCATCTTAAACTAGAAACTATAGTAGTTTATTTTTCTATTACAAAAAGGAACTGACCACATACCATAATCACCCCAAACAATACAAATGAGCCTTGCTGTCTGTGGGCAGTATCCATCATTAATACATCTAAGTACATTGTTAAAAACCTACTTATGGATGCAGAAATTTAAATGGCATAAATACTTCAGACACAAGTACGTGAGAGTATAAAAAGTGTGATAATTTTAGAGCTGGCCCAAAAACTGACACCCAGGTCCACAAAGGTATTTAGGTGCCTATCACCAAGGGATTTATTTGTGGATCGGAGTCTATGTCTATATGTTCCCTTCAAGCAGATGGGTGGATGGTGACAGAAAATGACTGAACCGTTGCTCCTACCATACAAATTGATTGTCCAGCATAGCTGAGTCAATGTACATGGCATCACCAGTTACTGCTATTGCAGGCCAACAGAAAATATTATTTCCCATTCTTGGAGACACTGTTGAAGTAGCAGAGTAATCATACCTTAAATGGCCATCTGGGATATGATGCTTTCTGGGAGAATGTTGCTGGAGCAAGGCTGCTTACCCTGGGTTACGTGTAAAGCACAGTCTAAATATCTGAAAGTGTTTTTACATCTAAGAGGTCACCCTCATCCTTAAAGTTGTTTCCTAAAGACAGCAAGTTTTGGAGTTGTTTATCAGTAAATAGGTGATAGAATATAAAGCCCTAGTTGTGTCACCTCTCTCACAATGAGTGGTATCTTACATTGGGATAATAGGATGTTTTGATAGTGTACAAACTTTTGTAGAAAAAAATTCCCAAGAGCAACATTTTAGTACAATTGATACAATTTCAGTTTGTTTTCAGCAGTTTGTTTTCAGCAAAAATATATTTTTGACAAAAAATGGTTCTACTGATTTTTTTTTCCAGCCAGTCTACTAGACAGTGTATTGTTTTCTATCTGGCTTCTCATTACAAGTGATCGCACTGACAAACTGATTATCTGTACAGTATATCAAATGGCAACACAAAACCTAAATAATTATCACAGGTGCTTTATTCTTCTGGTGGTACCATGTATTGTTGTAAATGCACCAAAAACCATGCCTGATTATCAGGTGCTTATCTCTGCTAACATACTTTTTAAATAGTTGAATTAATTTTAGTCTGACAACATTATGCAGTCAAGACTTCATCACAATTGGGAAGCATTGTTTAGCTTAGCCTAGTTTGACCTAACCAGGAGAATGAATTCCCTTTCATGAAAAGACAGACTGAAAGTAAGTGTCACACATGAAAACAATAGTGGACATTGTAAGTGGAAGCTGGTAATGCAGATGTAGGTGTACATGACAGTTTATTTCTCCCAATCAGAACCATCTGGCAAATGTAATCCCTTTAGGAGATATCAATAATTGGGTCTAAGTATTTAAAGTGTTACCAATATCTCCCCATGACTGATTGTTCTTCTGCACTGAGATCAATAAGCCTATCTTTATATTGTTAAAAGAATGATGAGTATCTTTAGTACTAACGAAAGGCAAGAGATAATAGTACTGATTTAAGCCAGGCAGAGTATTCTTACATGCTGTACAGACTTTTTCCAGCTACTTCTCTAATTTACCTTACTCTTGACCTACAATGTCTTTGATATTATACTTTTACCTTCCTACCCTCTTTTAAACACAGATTGAGAATTGTTCTGATGGTTTAATAATATGTAAAAAGGAAGACTAGAAATAACTAATTTTCACCTCTGGCCTGAAGTCAGCATATAAATTTAGCTCTCCAGAAGAGAAAAAGTAATGCATTATCTAGCCCACCTAAGGATCCCACTTGTACAAGAAAATTCAGAGCATAATGGAGGCTTAAATGTAAGAGTGTTGAATGCAAGGCTTTGTTATTCAAAGACATTTAGCATAAGTAATAATGCATATTCCCATGCTATGTTCCAAGCATTCGGGACCAAAGTCTCTTTCACTGGTATGAAGCATTAAGTGATATTATATATTTTTTAGGCTTTTAAGTCACCCAGCTGCATCCTATTTTGCCTCATCTAATGGACTCAGTCACTTGCACATGGCTAAATTCTTTACAGAGTGCCAGTTCTACCCAATGTGACTAAGAGTGTCCCTACCTCAGAACTGATTCAGTGCTCTGCTGGAGGTGCCTTAGTCAATCTGCACTCTGTTGCAATTCAGTGTCACCATGGACACAAAGAAGCACAAAATAAATCTGTAAAACTATAGGGTGCCTGTAAACCCTATAGTTTTAGGGGGCAAAAAGAAGGTACCGGGTAACGTGAGGCCCCTGCAAGACACGCTAGGAAATCTGGTCATCACACCAGATGACAAAGCTAACCTATTTAACAACTTCTTTGCCTCCATTTTCCTGAGCAGGGACTGGATCAGCCCCCCAGCTGGGACCCCCTCAGGCCCCATGGGAGGCGTACCCAGGCCAAGGGTCAGTGAGGATCTAGTTAGGGAACTTCTGGAGGGACTGGATGTATTTAAATCAGCTGGTCCGGACGATCTCCACCCCAGAGTGCTGAGGGAATTAGCTGAGGTCATTGCGGGACCCCTGGCACGGCTTTACGAGCAGTCGTGGTGCTCTGGTGTGGTGCCAGAGGACTGGAAGAGGGCCAACATGGTTCCCATCTTCAAAAAAGGGAGGAAGGAGGAACTGGGAAACTATAGGCCAGTTAGTCTTACCTCGATCCTAGGCAAGCTGTTCGAGAAAATTATTCTGGCACACATCCAGGAGGGG